AGAATGGCATTTTTGGAAAATGTTCTTTTTGGCTTTATGTATTGACCGATAGTATTGGCCCCACTATGATGAGATGGGTCAAACATATTATATTAGAAAATATAAAAATATAATATAGGCAGAAATATTAGTGATTCACCAAAATAACGTATTATCCAGGAAAAAAACCCAAAAATTGTTTTTAATCTCATTGACTTGGCATTGAATTATGTTCTATCAGCAATTTATTAATCTCTAGATATTGGTATCACCATCAGTCAGTGAAAAACTATAACAGTTGACAAGCTTGTGAAAGCTTAAATTCTTACCTCAGTGTTATCCACCACAAGAAACAATTCCACAAATCTTGGCGTGTGAAATCGCTTTGTTTTCTAAGAGGATATATGAATGATTTCAAATGTATGCATCCTTTCTTTCATGTGCAGAACGCTTGCTAGAATTGTGATGGAAAATGTTATTACCGATCTGCTGGACTTTAAGGGGACAGCCACTGGTGGTTCATGGTCATAAATGGTGGTGCTCGGTTCACCACAAGAGCTTCTCTTCCACCTCAGATGTTCATGCTTATAAAGTGCATGGTCTCCATCACTGTGGTTGGTCAGGGGCTCGATCAGGTATACTTGCTGTTTCACTCTCACAAAACCTCTATGGACAGAAGACATAATGCTGCTGCTCAAGAACATACGTACAAACATGGCCTTTAATGCTTGTGCACTTCCATTAGGAAAAGCATCTTGTAATGAACTTGATGTAAAAGGAGCGTGCCATTGTCTCAAACCTGATTCCAGAGCAGATTCCCACACTGACTGAGGAATCTTCCAAATCCTGAATATGGCCATGATAGTAGCAGTTGTCCTACAAATGATTCAAAATTGATTGATTTTTATTTTCTGTGCTTAACTGATTATATTATACCCAGCTTAAATAAGAGAACTTCAGTCAGTCTGACATGACTTAAATGTTCAGAATAGAATACTAGCAGGAACTGCTGCACAATATGCGATATACAGTCAAACCAAAAATTATTCAGACACCAGATATCATTTTTGATATATTTTTTTACTAGTTGGTGCAGGACACTATAGTTCATTTATGTAAGTGAGGATAGCAAAATAAAGTAAACTGTGACATATTATACCCAAAAATTCTTCATACAGTGGACTACCAGTAAAATTGATAACAATTTGGGATCAAAAATGATTCAGACACTTTGACCTGACCATGTCAGCGTTATCTGACATTTTCTAAACTATAGCGAATAAACCGTGATAATGTGTGAAATGTTGAAGGTGTCTGAATACAATTTGACTGTATATATAGTATGGGACATACACTAGTATGCTGTTCTGATCATAGTTATTGTTAAATTACAGTAAAATTTAAGTTACCTTTAAATTTGGATTTCTGCTCACAATCAGTCCATCATCTTGATAATATATTTCAGAGTAATTATGTCCGATGAGTTGCCTAAATCACAGTAAATACTTCTTTAGGACTACCTTAGAGTACAATGGTGTATCTCATACGATTAAACATCGAAATGAAATGTACAGAAAAGACTTTGAAATATAATACACCCAAATGCAACACTCACCTGTTCTTTTCCAAATGAACGAGGTGATCTTTCCCTCCAAAGAATAATTTATATGCGAGTCTATCAGGATACGTCTCATGGCTTTGTGGACTTTTATCAGACTGTACCTGCAGAGGATTGATGTGTTAATGCACACATAAACAGCACAACCCAATGGTTGCTTTTATCCTAAAACTAAAAATTAGGTTTTATTCAAGCATATATTGTTGCTGTATAACAGTAAGATCCAGGTTGTAAATGGAGGTACCTTTTGTCTTTTAGGTCTCACCACATCAAACTGCTCTACATGAGGTAATGTACGCATACTCTCTGCCACACATCCTGATGAAGAATCAAAAGATATTTTTATATTTCATAAATGCACTATCCACACCACCACCCACAAAAGTTAACAGCATTCTATAAAAAGAAATAGGCTGCATAAGCCTAACTAGGGTCAACTTTACTGGCCCTAAATTACCTTAAAACATTTCTGATCTTCAAACTATCTGCAGCACAAAAAAATACCAAAAATGATATGTTCTATATTTTGAAAAAGTGCAAGATACTTTCCCTTATTTTACTTTTTAAATACTTCAGTTGATAAACCTACTTGGGACAAGTCCGAAGTACGAAAATTCTTGTTTATTAAACATTTTTCCGCGTTTAAAATGAGGGTAAATAAGTAAATGCAATTAAAGGGACACAATAAAAAGTTACAAATATTCAAAATACATTTTTTTCTATCAAATTAACTTAAGGACAGAAAAGTTCCTCCATCACTATATACTGTTCTATGAGTATCATATTCGCAGGAATGTAAATAAATATAAATAAATTCATAAAATAGACCGGTTTAATCTTTGAGCGCAAATATATTTTTACATAAAGGAATATTATACATACCCCAAAGACAAAGACAGCAAAGTACATGAGCTGTGAAGGCAGAGTACGGCATGATTACTGCGCGTTATGGTCATAGACTGTTATGGTTCATGTCTACATGCCAAAAGATAAACTTGAGATCCGCCCAAGTGGGCCGCATTTTCACTTTATCAGGACAAACGCAAAAACAGAATAAAGAGGTAGAATGACCGATAGCATAGAACACAAAGAGGCGGGGCTTAGAGACGTCACGAGGGCTCGAAACAATCATTCTCGTAATTTGACAAAATTTATCTGTTGATTTTCAAATTCTATGACAATATGCCGTTTCTCAGTGTTATTATGTAGGTGTAAATTGTTGTCCTTACCTCAGCTGAAACAGATAACCGACGACGTTGTCACGTGGTAGCTAATACTTTTCTCAGCGCTGGTCTTGGCGAACCAATCACATTCGTTTGTGATTACAAGATAAAGGTTTATTATTATTATTATTATTATTATTATTATTATTTTCTATAGGCCACTGAGGTGAATTTTCATGTTTTGTGTTAGGTTACAATATTTGAAACTTACAGAATTAAATGATTTGAGTTTTTTTGTGTGCAAATCACGACCTGAGATTTGAATGTGCTTCAATGGAGCATTCAGTGATCTGGGCCTCCCTCCGAGGGCCCCTGCATGAACACAAGCGTGTTACCACCCAACGGGACAGACCGCAACATATCCCGTAACGACAATGACACATAACATTACAAGAAACACATGTTATGTATTAAAGCGTATGTTTTAGGCTACATTTAGTTATAGCTTTAGAGTTCGTTAATTTCATGCATATTCTAATTATTGTGCAGTATTGTATAATTAATGCATAAAGAGTGTTTTTAAATACAATATTTACACATTTAGAACTGGACAGTAATTTTCAGCGCTTAGTATTCCCAGAATTTACTGCTGCAATATTGGAATTAATGTTCAAATTAACCCAAATATCCTTCTTGACATATTAGTTCTTTCTTTCTTTCAAAATAAATGTCCCTAATGGAGGTTGAACACATTTTAACGCATATAATATTTAATTAATGACCTGATTGCACTTAGGCTACATTTTCTGTCAATGATATAATATTATAATTATATTACACATCATCAGCTTAGCAAATAAAATGAAAATTGATCATCCTGCCTGAGTTTTTTCACTTGCATATCACAACCACTAGAGGACAGATCATATGGCTGTATTTCACACAATGCTTATGTCTCATTCATACGGAAGTTCTAAGCGGCCATGCATTATTTTTTTCCCCTTCTTGTTTTCTCGTTATAACGACTTATTTTCTCGTTATATCGACATAACGAGAGTTGTTTTCTCGTTATAACGACTTAATTTTCTCGTTATATCGACATAACGAGAGTTGTTTTCTCGGTTATAACGATTAATTTTCTCGTTATATCGACATAACGAGAGTTGTTTTCTCGTTATAACGACTTAATTTTCTCGTTATATCGACATAACGAGAGTTGTTTTCTCGTTATAACGACTTAATTTTCTCGTTATATCGACATAACGAGAGTTGTTTTCTCGTTATAACGACTTAATTTTCTCGTTATATCGACATAACGAGAGTTGTTTTCTCATTATAACGACTTA